TAACCAATACATTCAAGACACATCAACACCTTTTCAATCAGATCGAAACATTTAATCTTCCTGGATACTTGGAATTTAAATACCATAGTCACCAGTCCAACCCTCCAGTCGATGTGGATATGGGTTATGGATTGAATAGCTGTCCGAACATTCAAGAGAAATTTATACAGTTCATAAACTCAAACATTCCCTCTTCTACTAAATTCTATACGGATGGGTCTAGGCTGGATACGGACAACAAAGTTGGATACGGTATTTATTCCCCGGACTTAAATTTAAAAATTAAGCGCAGGATTAATGACAACTGCTCAATCTTTGAAGCGGAGACGCTCGCTATTTATAATAACCTCGATATAATTATGGAAAGGAAAATCAACAATTCGGCTATATTCACGGACTCACTCAGTGTCCTCTCTGGTTTAAATTCTGCATGCACTCAGTGTCCTCTCTGGTTTAAACAATTCGGCATGGTCAGGGAAAACCCACCATTGGATACTTAAAATTAGACACTCTCTGTATAATTGCCAAACTAATAATATCTTGGTCAAACTATTTTGGATACCTAGCCATAGGGGCATATGGCAATGAACAGGCTGATCTTCTGGCTAAGGAATCTCTGCACCTCCCTAATCATTTTCTAATGAGTAAATGCCATTACTCAAATATTTATTCTAAATTCAAAAAATTAGCAAAAGACAAAGCTACGCAAACTCTCAGGCGACAGAGCCAATATAAAGGTTCCAGATACTTTAATCTCAAACTTGAATACGGGGACTCCATCCTTTCCACACCCTGGTATAAAAATTTCAAAGGTTCACTTCCTAGATCGGTTATTACTCTCATCTCCAGAATCAGATCACATCACACTGCCACCGGCAAACATCTACTGGACAAAAACATTCTAACATCGTCAGAATGTTCCTGTGGTCATGCTTGCCAAAACCTCAATCACATCTTCTTTCAATGCCCCTCCCTTGCCGACGAATCATCTGCACTCATTTCATCTATCAAAAGAACAGACCCTCTTATTTCAATCGACATACCTAGTATTGCCTTTTCCAACAATCCCAAGTTATATAAATTGCTTCACTCATTTGTTAAGGGTCTCAACCTAAACATATAATCTTTGAAAATTCATAAGAAATAATGGTGTATGGGCGACTAATGCCCAACCAGCCATAGAAGAAGAAGAAGAAAGAGAATCGTCGCGTATGATGGATTTGCGAATGCGTGCACGCTGCGTGCGCTGCAACGTCACCTTGTGTGCGCGTCTGCGAGCTGCGTCTGGCGTGTTGCGTCCTATGTAGACGGGCCTTTATATCCCTCGCACACTGGACGCGATGAGCGATGAGCGATGGGCGATATCCAATGAGAGCTGTGCTTTTCCGAACGTCACATCCGTCGCGAGGCTCGGCGCGACATCGCTCAAAAGGTCGGTCAAGTTTCTACTTTCGTCGCTTGTAATGCGCGAAAGCTGATAACAACCATAGACTACACAGAGAAAAATGTACGATACTGTACAAAGTGATATCATGGACCACGATTATTCAAAAATGAATTTCGAGAATATAGAAAATATGAAAATAAGTTTTTGTTCATTAAATTATTATTATTTTTATGACTAAATTAAAATAATATTTTTTCATAAGCAGCTTGAAGACACAATTGAGCTATAGATGCAAATAAGGATAGAACCATTGAGCAAGATTATTTTGGTACGTATATCATAAAACTGAAAAAAAAATTTTTGTATCAAGGGAGGTTAATTTAATATATATTTCTTGTTTTTAGTTATTGTTCACATATTATTTGGAATAAGAAATATTATATTCCCAGACAGCACAAGACATCCTCAGGATCATCCTGAATATGTCCAGGACGGTTCAGGACATTTGTAGGACGTTTTAAGATATCATTATAAATATATTTTATGAAAATTTAATACGCATACATGATTACTTTCAGTTATGTAGGCTATTTAATATAATTTAGAACTCTTAAGTATTATAATAAGTATTAATGTCCTATAAATGTCCATTGGATAACCCCTGGATGTCTATAGGATATCTGCCCTGTCTATTATATTGGATGTCCTTTGGATTTCCAGAGGACATACATGTGTTATCTGGCAATTAATTGTTAACATTAATTTCGTTTAATATTAATAATTGAATTTGATGCGCACATTTTCACATATTCAAAATTATTATTTATTTAATATTTCATGAGAAATGTTACTATGCGCAACATTCCAAAAACTTTACAAAAAATAGTATTCAACCGCTAGTTCGTTTGTTTACCGCTATGCGACGCGCGGGCGATGCGTTCATCTCGTATTTGAGATTTGGTCATGAGAATTATATAAAGCTTGCAAAGAGCAACTAACAGGAAATTAAAAATATAATTATTTTTTATCAGTTCAATTTCTGAT